TTTCTCCTTTATTTTTTCTCTTTTTCTTCCTTGCTCTTTTTTTTGCTCTTTCCTATTTCCTACATCTTTATTATTCCGTGTTTCATATGTGCTGTTATCTGTTTTCATGTCTCTTGTCTTTGTTTATTAGCGACGAGATTTCATTCCTTTATCTCGTCTCTATTACGTCCTACTGCTATCTTCGCTAATACTTCCCTATGCTACCTTTCTGCCTCCCTTTATCCGTTGCTTTTATATCGTACTGCTTGCTTCATGATTCTCGTCGTATTTTTCTGCCCACTTTACTGTCGCTCGGCTTATCTCTTTCTTGCCTTCCCCCTCCTTTTGTATATCCTGTACGTTATGTTGTCTCCCTCGTTTCCTGCTCTCTTTTTTTTTTTTTCTTCTTTTTGTCGCTGTTTATACTCATATCTTACTCTCATCGTTCCTTGTTTCTTCTGCTTTTTTATCTCCCTTTTCTTTCTCTGCTTCTCACTTTATTTCCTTTTTCCTCATTTTTTTTATACCTCTTGGTTCTGATTTCCTTGTCACGCTTTTCTAGCTTTCTCTCGTTCTTATTGGTTCCTTTTTGTAAATTTCTGCTTGCATATATCGTCCATTGTTCACATTCATTTCTTATCCTATTTCCTCTTTGTAGCATAGCATCTTTTTACTTCCATCTGACTTGTTTTCTTTACTCCTGATTATTGTCCCTGTATCGTGTTCGAAGTGTTACTTTGCGCTTTCTTCTTTTACCTCGTACTGCTTGTCACTCTTACTCTCTCTGGTTCTCGCATCTCATATATTGCTCCGTCTAGCTCTTACTTCCTGGTTTTTGCTTTTGTTTTCAGCTTGATCGCTTTCTTCGTTCTTATTGTAAGTTTTGTTTATATCTCTTCTTTTTATTGCTTGTTGTTATCTCCCCTGTCATTTGTTATTCCTTCTGTCATCTCTCCTGCTTCTTCTTCTCGCTTCCTTTTTCTGGTTATCGCTCGTCTTGAGCTTCTCTCGTGTTCATCCCGTCTCCACTTCTCTTCCTCTTATCTACTGTCGCTCTTTCTATACTTCAGGTTGATCTCTTTGTCTCGTTCTCGTCGCAGTATGATGTTTCCCTCTTTTCGCCTCCTCAGGATTTCCTTCCTTATTGCATTTTCCCTTCTTGCTCTTGCCTCTTTCCTTCTTGGCTTGTCTCTCCTATGTCTCTCACTTACTACGTATCTCCCTTTTTCCTCTTCCTTTGTTTCTTCTTCATACTTGCTCTCTTTTTACACTCTCGTTTCAGTCTTTTCCTTTTCCTTCTCTTTTCTTCCTTTTGCTGCTGGGGCTTGCATTGCCTGTCAACTGTTTCTACTTTGATCTATCCTTCATTCTATTGGCTATTTTCTGTCCTTTCTAACATCCTATTTATTCTTACTTCTGTCTTTCCGCTTTTCCTCTTTCACTTCTTACTTTTTCCTTTGTCTCCTTTCGCTTACACCCTCTCTTCCTTGTCTTCCCTGTCCCTCCTATTACTTGTGCTCTCACTTTTCCCTGTTCCTATTACTATGACCTCTATTGCCTATTCTCTTTTGTTATCCTATTTCCGTGCTTCGTTGTTTTCTGCCTTGTGTCCTCCCTTCTTCCTTCATCCTGTTTTCCATCATCTCTATCTCTTCCTTTGCTCCCTACTTTTCTCCTTCTTCCTTTTCCTATCTTTTGTATATGTTCATTTCTTTTCTCTTTTTCGTTCCGTGCTTTCTTCTCTGTGCCTCTCTTTTGTTCCTTTTAGCTTGTTCCATATTCCACTTGATCTCTTTCTCACTATACCATGTCTAGTATTATTCTTTCTTCTTTACTTTTAACTTCTCATTTCTCTTACTCTTGTCTTATTTTCTCTTTCTTCTTCTTACCTTGCATCCCTTTCCTGTCTGCTATCTATCGCTTATCTTTCCTCCTTCTGTGCCGCTTTCCTCCTCCATTCTACTTTCTTTCTTTATTCTCTCCACTATATCCTGTTTTTCCTGCTGATTGTAATTGTCTCTCTTAATTTTTCTTGTCCTGTGTTTTTCTTTTGCTTCTTGTACTGTCTCCTTCTTTCTCCTGCATTATTCTTTTTGCTCTCCTTCTCTTCCAGTTTATTCCTCTCTCCTGCTCGTTCTGTTCCCTACTATCCTCTATTTCTTTTTTTCTTGCTCATTTGCGCTCACGTTTTGCTTCATTTCTCGTCTTTGCCTGTTTACGTTTACCGTTCCCCCCTACCTCTCATATGATCTGCATATGGTGTTCTTTTACTTCTGTTGCCTATTCTTTTCATTCCCTTCTTTTATTTTCTTTGCCGCTGCCTCTGTCTTTTTTCGCTCCTTTCATACTCGCTTTGGTACCTATGCTTTTCACCTCTCTGCTTCCCTCTCTCCTCTTATCTCCTATCTCTCATCCTACTTCCTTTTCTGACTCTCTACTCTTACTTACTGTTTCCCTCAAGTTGCTTTCTGTATTGTCCTTTCTTGTATATTGCACTGTTCTTTCCCTTTTCATGCTGTTGCTAGCTCTTGCCTTCTTTTTATCTTTATCTTTACTTCATACTTCTCCCTACTTTTTCTATCCTTACTTCTCTATTCTTTCCTTTTTTGTATACTCCTTTCGTATTCATTTCCTTTCCGCTCTCGTTATTCTCTTGTTATTCCTTCTCCGCCTTTCGCCTATTTCTCCTCTCTTGCTTGTTCTATCATCTTGCCATGTAACTTCTCGCTTCCTCCTCATCTCTTAACGCTTTTTTCCCCTGTCGCGTCCTTCTTTCGATTTTGCTCTCCTCTTGCTACTATTTTTATTATATTTGCATTGGTATCTTTTTCTTTCTCTTCTCCTGTGTTCTTAGCTTTTCTCGCTCATGATGTCTTCCTTGATTTTCTGTTCTCCTTGACTGTCCCGTGTTATCTCTGCTGCGTGTTTCCCTTTCTTCCTGATTCCCTGTTTTCGTTGCCTTTGTTGTGTTGTCGTTTCTTCTTTCTTATTTCTTCTTGTCTATCACCTTTTTTTTTTTTTC